TCATCCCTGTTGCGTGCTAGCGTAGCCCAATGGCATCTGTTCGTTCTAGGAACGTGCAGAACCTCAAACTGATCATTCAGGGTCTTGATGAAGTCTGACCATCTTGTAGGTGGGCGTTTGGACATGCCAGATAGCTAAAATGGAACAAATTTCAATTTGTTCAAAGTCTCACCCTGAGAACATCGCCTAGAGGCAGCCCACCAGGTGCTCCTGGTCTACCGGTCCTGTCCTTCTCAGGCGCACAAACTTGCTTGACTTTCGTACAGACAGGAACTACGTGCAGCAGAGACAGCGAGGGGCTGACTCCTTGCCCGCACGACATCGCGTGTCTGGGAGAGCCAGAGACATGGGGACCAGGACAGGGAGTGAAGACTCCGACTCTGGCCTGAGTACAGGCAAACGCATCTCCGTGTGCTTCTTGGAGGTCCCAGTGGTTCCAGCACTCACCTTGGTGATGCCCTCAGGCTGCTCTGCCCTCCTGGCCTCCCTCGGGGCGCATGCCTCTATCCCACCATCGACTCTGACGCTTACCCTTGTCCTTGACACAGCCCTGCTTGGGGACAGACCCAAACTAAGGGCCATGCCCTTTAATTCTTTCACTCTGATACAAACATGACAGTTAAGAACTGAGCGCCACCTTCCTTCCTTTAGTTACAATGTAAATTTTGATGCGATTCATAAAATACCATATTTTATAAAATCAGCTTTAATACTTAGATTAATAGAAAAATTAAATCAGTAGATACGCATCCCACACACTCTTCATCTGTTTATTATTATATCTTACGTGACTATATTTGCCATAATTAATTGATACTGTTCATATCATTATTAACAAAAGTCTATATAGGCTTTGTTGAGAGCTTTTTCATTTTTACCATTTTTTTTTTGTATTTCAGAATCCAGTCCTTGTCTAAGAATGTTTTAAGCTGTTGCGTGAGCTTTCCTGAGACTTCGGGATCTAGGGTCTGGGCCAAGGGGTAGATATGGCGGCAGCCATGGGAGGGGCCGTGGCTGTCCGTGGTGGGGGTCCTCGACCCACCGTGAGTCTGAGACACACAGAGACCTCAGCCCGGGTTCTAGGCCCCTCAGGTTATTCGCATATTGGCATTTGCAGAGAGTAATTGGGAAACAGTGGCATGAGACCTTGGCGTGGCACCCTGGGCTTGGCAGGCGGGTATTTGGCCTCCCACCTCCCGAGGGTGGCCTGGAGTTTCCAGCTGCTGGGTGTGCTTCTCCCGAGACTTAGTAGGGGTTTGGTGGTGGGGGACTCCGGGCCCCCATCTTCCTGCTCTGTGCTGTAGCCCCGTGGGCCCTCTCCACCCATGTGCAGCCCTGTGTAAACATAAATGTCAAATAAACCTACAGGTCCTACCAGATTGTATTGTAGATTTATTCTAATTTAGTTTTAGCTTTGCTCAGGGCTCACTCCTGCCTCCGTGCTCATCTCTGGCAGAGCCTGGAGTTCGTATTGATGCAGGTGGAGTCTGCTCCGTGGACTGCAAGTGTCCAAACCCGTGTGACCTTATAGGGCCAGTGACTTTCTTAAGGTTATTTTGTGTTGTACGAACGTTCGGTTGGGTGGAACGCAAAAGAAATTAATGCTCACAGAGGATCCCCAGACTCGCTCAGAACTTTGTGACCAAGAGCAGCCTTTTCAGCCTCCTTTTATTTGCTGGCTTATTATAATCACGTCCAATGAAATTCCACAACATAGGAAGAATCACCAGTGAAATTCAACAATGTAGGAAGGATCAAAACGAAGAACCAGAGGTAATGGGAAACATGGTCAGTTACAGTTAAGGGAAAACAGTTGGTTATAGTTAACAAAAACATAGTTACAGGTAAGGAGAAACATGGGTCATGATCTCCTCACACCTGGGATCTGTGATAAACAGGAACTTTTTCATCTAAAGTTTAGCGAAGTCTGAGATACGTGGGAAGGGGAAGCTGCCGCTTTGTGCCACAGGAATCTGCTGGCCACAGAAGGTCAGTTTTGCCTTTTCCGTATCAATCAGACTCAAGCTCAGGTGCCTATTTAGTGGAAAGTGGGGTCCTGGTTCTGTGTCCTGCTTGCAGGGCAGCGTCCAAGGACTCATCTTCATGATCTGGTTGGACACCAACAATTTTGATTCCGTTCTAGACTGATTTCTAGCATCCTATCTTGGAATTTCTGTGGGTCTGTCTTTTTCACTTTTAAATGATTCTTTCTGGTCCTCTCTGAAGGAGCTGTGATGTCCCTCCAGTACAATCTTAAGGTTCACACACTATGTTCATGTTTACAGTGACCTTGAATAAACTTTTCAATGTGTGTAATTTTCCAGCCTTCTGATATCTTGAGGGCCTAAGACTGAATACTGATCACGCTCCCTTCCACATGTTTCCTACTTGGTCTTAGTTCTTTCACTCGTCCCAGCCTGGGCACTGCTGCTTTGGAAAGCCACAGTCTGATATATTCTTCTTGTTCTGGGCACGTGTTACGGACCTCACAACACTGGTGGCATCATGGTCTTCTGCACAGAGCAAAAACTTTGCGTTTCCTTTGCAAGAGTCTACTGAAGATAAACTTCGTCAGTGTATGACATGTTCACTTCATCCTCATTACTAAAACACAGCTATGACCTGGTCACATGAGAGACCCTGCCTGGGCTCCTGAGCACTGTGGGCAGAGGGAGCACTGCAGAGGGAGCACCGTGGGTGGAGGGAGCACTAAGGGCGGAGGGAGCACTACACCACCTGGCCTGAGCCTGACACACATCACTGGGAGTGTCCTCGAGTCCTCAGCACCTCTGGGGAGGCCCCGATTAAAAACACAGACAGAAGAGATGGGGCGCACTCAGGGTGGTATGGCCGTAGACTAATATCCGTGGCCGGGGAAAACAGGTTAGACTGGTCAATGGTTGGAACTAAGCACAAGAGTGGGTGGGGCTGAGGGTCGGTAAGAGAGAGAAGAGACCAGTGTGACAGTAATAGCTGGGAGTGATCACGCTGGACAAGATCTGAGGATGAAAAGGAGGAAAAGGGATATTCTTGATAATCTTTCAGAATCAATACTCCAAACCACAATGCCCAAAGGGGGAGGGGTGAGGAGACAGAGAGACCGGGGTGGGGGGGGGGGGGGGGCGCCTGCCAGAGAGGCAGGCAGGAGGAAGCTGGGGATACTGGTGCTGGGAAATGTCCCCCGGCTCCCGGGCAGCAGCAGAGACAAATTTCCGGTACCTGGTACCCACCCCCCCACTCCCACTTCTGTGGGGGCTTCCAGGGGCTCAGGCCTGAGCGTCCAGTGCCATCGGCTGTCGTAATGCCCGTGCTCCACATGAAACCAAGATTAAAGGCAAGTACGCAGAATTAAGTAACTTGGAGAAACTCCCTCGGGTTCTGAAAACGTTTAGGATGGAGACACTTTTCTGCTCTTACCACTTGGGTTGGGCTGGAGCGATAGCACAGCGGTAGGGCGTTTGCCTTGCACGCAGCCCACATGGCCGACCCGAGTTCGATTCCTCCGCCCCTCTCGGAGAGTCCAGCAAGCTACAGAGAGTATCTCGCCCGCACGGCAGAGCCTGGCAAGCTCCCCGTGACGTATTCGATATGCCAAACACAGTAACAACCAAGTCTCAAAACATGGAGACGTTACTGGGCCTGCTGGAGCAAATCGATGAACAGGAGGACCGTGACCGTGACCACTTGGGTGTGTCTGGCCCCTTTTCTTCCTTTTTAAATCAAGCTTGGTGCTTGGGGCTGAATAGCTGAAACTGGGGTGCGGCCCGCCAGGGCTGGTCGTTACTCCTTGAGCACTGCAGCTTTTGCCACGCCCAAAATGTGTTCTGCCTGATGAGAGCCCAGACTGCTGGAGTCACCACACATCTGAAACCGAAGTGGCACAGTGAGAATTTCAGTGTCCTGGAGGGCCGCCAAGGGGGCTAGTGTCCCCCTCCCTGTGGAAGTGCCCAGGCTGCCTCACTGGGGAGCCACTGCAGTTCTCAGGCAAGCACAGCTCCAGACTACAAAGTCCGTTCTTCCCAGGAATCCCACCTGACACAGTTGCTGAGAACGCCAAGGGCAGCTCTTGCAAGGCACAAGACCAGCAGGCAAGCGAGAGAATGGAGCCGGCTTACTTCAACCCTGTAATTAAACCCCCCAGACCCCTTTCACCTGAGGCAGGACAGGCAGCTCACGATTTTCAGAACGGAGGCCCAGGCGCGGGCCCCCAGTGGTCCCCTAAACCAGGCACAAGCCCGGCGCGAAGGCGAAGGAGCCCCAGAACAAACAAGAAACACGCCCTTCTCGGCAATTAGCAGAGGACGCTCCTACGAGCCGTGCTGGCTGTGGGTAGAAAACAAACATTCACTGACCGACACCGCGGCTAAAAGGAGAAGTCCAAACTCCTTGTCATTCCTCGAACTGTGGCGGAAGGAGCTTTCCAGCAGAACTGGAAGGAGCCTCCTTGTCTGTCTGACTGAACTGGCACGTCATCCAACACACACATCAGTGAACAGCACTTGCCCGAACTCTTCTATTGATGTCAATTTCATCAGTGCTAAATGTTAGAACTGTACAGAAAACATCTTATTCTCCAAGAATCTTTGTATGTGGAGACTTGTATCTGCTTATTTCAAAAAAAAATAAAGGCCTCCTGCAGCAACACAGACTGGTATCAGTGGTCCAAGACAAAAAGCTGAACTAGCAAAACATTTTATTAACACAACAGAGCAGTAAACTGGATTCCTCCATTACTGAATCGGAGTTGTATACGGAGCATTGCCTACTTCATGAGGCTGGAGTGACAGCACAGTGGGAAGGGCGCTTGCAGCTGACCCCAGACAATCCTCAGCACCCCGTAGGGTCCCCAAATGCCGCCAGGAGTGACCCCCGAGCAGAGCCAGGAGAAAGCCCGGAACACCGCAGGGTGTGGTTCCGAAACGAGGACAAGAATGTTCTACAGCCAGGTTCAGTGCTACAACTTACAATGAGAGAAAAACAGGTCTCCGCCACACCAGGAGTTGGGGTTTATCTTTTTATTAAATAAGATATGCTAATAATTTTAAAAGTTCCAAAAACTGTAATAGGATTCCCTGCAGGGATTAATTCTGAGCGTGATGAACCTGAAACATAATTATAAAAGGCAAACAGAACCCAGGACCCGTGCCCCCGCGGCCGGCCTCCCCGCAGCCTCAGTCGTCCTCCGACTCGCTCCCCGTCCTCTGGGGCAGCGAGCTCCGCACAGAGGACAGCAGTGCGTCCTCCAGGGGCTTCCTGGGGTTCTCCTCCAGGTCGGTCTTGATTGCTCCCGACTCAGACAACTTCCACTCCAGCTCTACATAACGAGAAGAAACAGTCACCGCAAGCCCACACGGCCCTCGCTCCAGCCCCTCAGGTCTGTCTCGCACTCAAAAAACTATCATTATCAATATTTTCTGGTGATTTCAGTGGGGTAATGACCAGGTACCCAGAAGAAAGAGAAAAAAAAAATCAGTTCTGTAAGGAGGAAAACATATATGCTTTCAAACATTTTTTCAGAAAGTGCTAACAACTGAGATGCAATACAAAATTGAACCAACAAGGTAATTAAAGTAGAAACTAAGTCTATCTTTTAATGACTACAGATTCTCAGGCTAGATAATTTACCAGGAAAAAATTATTATGAAAAATTTATTTCTAATGATGTCGTTGCGGCAGGTCTGAATGTTAGGGAAAAGGAAAATTCCAAATAACAACGGTGGGCCTAATATTGAATGTGATCAACCGGGGGGGGGGGGGGGAGAGAGAGAGGGAGAGAGAGAGAGAGAGAGAGAGAGAGAGAGAGAGAGAGAGAGAGAGAGAGAGAGAGAGAGGAAAGTGGAAATCTGCCACACGGTGGGGGATGGGTGGGAGGGGGGTATATTGGGGTTCTTGGTGGTGGAAATGTGCACTGGTGAAGGGACAGGTGTTTGATCATTGTAGGACCAACTGAGACTTGATGAAAGGCTTTGTTACTGTTCTCACGGTGATTCAACAACAACAACAAAAAGAATTGAAGGTGGAGCAGTAGCACAGAGAGTAGGGCGTTTGCCTTGCACACGGCCAACCTGGGTTCGATTCCCAGCATCCCATATGGTCCCCCGAGTACCACCAGGAGTAATTCCTGAATGTCCTGAATGCATGAGCCAGGAGTAACCCCTGTGTATATCCAGGTGTGACCCAAAAAGATAAAAAAATAAATAAAGGAATTTTATCAAGTATCTAACCAAAAAATAGTTTTAGAATAGAAACTGCTCCAAACAATATACGCTGGGGGCTGGAAGGATAGTACAGCAGTTAGGACATTTGCCTTGCAGGGCCGACGTGTGCTCGATTCCCAGCATCCATATAGTCCCCAAGCACCACCAGGAGTTCCCGAGTGCAAAGCCAGGTGTAATCCCCGTGCATCGCCGGGTGTAATCCAAAAAGTGGAAAAAAAAAAAGACAATATATGTCATAAAATGAACACTAATTTAACTATGTTGTCTAAACTACAGTTAAGTGGGGCTGGAGCGATAGCACAGCGGTAGGGCGTTTGCCTTGCACGCGGCCAACATGGCCGACCCGAGTTCGATTCCTCCGCCCCTCTCGGAGAGCCCGGCAAGCTACCGAGAGTATCTCGCCCACATGGCTAAGCCAGGCAAGCTCCCCGTGGCGTATTCAAAAACAGTAACAAGTCTCACAATTTGTTGTGAGGCGTTACTAGTGCCCACTTGAGCAAACCAATGAATGGGAGGACGGTGCTACAGTTAAATAAACTGTACCTCATGGTGTTTCACTAATAAAAATTTTTTAAAAAATTATTTTAGGCACCATGACTTATAATACTGATAATTTTAGGGTTTCGTGAATAAAACATTCCAGAGTTAAAAAAAAAAAAGAATTTTTAAGAAAAAAAAAATTTAAAGAATATACATCACACAATGATACCGGTAACCCAATCTTTAAATCTAATTCGGTTAACAAAAGGAAATGCTTCCATTTTATGCCCAAGACCTCAATCTCCAAATCAAAGAATAAATGATAACATCCTGGAACAGGTACATTTGAACCATGTCAAAAATACTATTTGAGTCATTAAAAAAATATAATTAAATTTAAAAAAAAGCTATTTGGAGGATGGCAAGGAAGAGAGTAACTTTGTACAACGAGATCACAAATAATAACACCATCATTACCCTAGTACCTAAACTACAATAAAATTTTTAAATGCTTTAATTTTGAAGAAAACAAATATTACTGTAATACCTGCCAAAACTCAAAAACAAGTAATTTTTTTAAAAAGATACCAGAAAGCAAAGAATCAGTGATTCAAGGTTATTCCCTACATTTCATTCTCTGAGAACCTATATAACACTCTATGGTGAAACTACGTATAGCAAATCCCCAAATGCCTCTGCTTTACGTGAACATTAAATATACATTTTACAACCCGCTGTGTTTCCTTCTAACTAAAAATCATCACAGGTTACTTGTAACTGCCCCAGTTACTCAACTACGACGAGAAATAGGACGTTCTTTCCTTCGACGGCTGTGGGAACCGAGGCAAAGGTGGACTCGGAAACTGACCCGCCGCACCCCCGGAGCAGCCCCTGGGCCCGAGGCCGCCGCGCCCTCCGGTCCTTACCGTCCCTGCTCAGGCTCATGCCACCAAACACCAGCGGGCCGATGAACTGGGCCTTGATGTGCCCGTCCAGGTAGACGAACACCGTGGGCAGGTTCCTGTCCGGGTAGTTGGCGATGCAGGTCGTGGAGACGGCTTTGATGAATTTGACATGGGGAAACTTGCGCGCGAGTCCACTGAGGTGCTGGTTGATCAGGGCGCAGAGCGGGATCCTGGGAAAAGGCAACCGAGGAGGCAGTGACTCTGCACGTCCACGGACGCAAACTCGGCGGCCCTCTAGAAACAGCTTCACCGGCGGCTACTCTAGCAAAGTGAGCCGCTTTTAAATTGCTTCTCAAACAATTCCTAATATTCTTAGAAGCCTAAAGTCCAATTTAATTGGACTCCACAGGACATCAAGAAACAACTTCAAGGCAAAAGACGGTTGTCCTTCAAGCTGAATGAGTTGAACCAAAGAGCTTTTAAGGTTCCCATCAACATTTCTCAACCTTTCCCCTCAGGTTCCCCCCACGCACCCGTCCTACTGGTTGGTACTTAGTCCCATGCTTGGTCCCCAATGTACTGCAACTTCCCCCGTGGCCCCTTTGGGATATCCTGGCGCCCCGGATGAGAAATGCTGGTTTAGCATGGCCTCACGGTACAAGCAAACACTGGCAGACCAGAGCCACTCCCAGAGGACACTGACCCACACGGCCATCCCCCGGAACTCTTCAGAGTTTCTTATGCGTTCCTTCGCAGGGACAGCAACACGAAAGATAGAACGTAGGCATTCAAGTCTGAGAAGAAACGTCCAATGTGGATGAGGCCGGAGGTGTTCAAGACAAACTCCAACGAAGCATTTTTTGGTGTCTGTGTTTTGGGGCCCAACCTGCAGTGCTCAGTACTTACTCCTGGTTTTGTGCTCAGGACTGAGTCCTGGCAGGGCATGCCCACAGGCATGCCAGGATCTCACTGAGGTCAGCAGTGTGTGTGCAAGGCCCTGGTGTCCCTTCTGGACCTGCCCTGCCCCCTCACACGAACGTTTTAAAGACCGTGTAACATCAGCTCACCCTTGCTTGTAAAGGTGCAGGATTACCCACAAGCCCTCACCGGCTTCGGTAACTTCTTGAACATAATCCTTCCCCGAGATCTCCAGAACTTCTCCAAATTTATTCTTTAGTTTAGTGGCTTTCCACTCAGCCAGTCTTTGTTGCCTGCACAGGAGAGAAACAGTCTCACAATGGACACACGGCACAGCCTCGGAGGGGCCCAGGTTTACTTAATTGTCCCAAGTCCTTTCAAAAGTGACCCAAGGACATGCGTGTGTCCAAGGCCACCCTTCTTCCTCTCTCTCACAAACAGTGCTGGAGGCCAGGGGCCACTCCTGGTGCTCATCAAACCCACAGGCTGGCTGGCCAGCTCAGGGTTAGTGCTGGGAAACTCTGTGCTGCTCAGGCCACCAGTGCTGGGTCACACCTGCTGGCACCGGGCACAGAGCCAGGTCCTCCTCATGGAAAGAGTAACCCCGTCACCTCCCCAGGCCCGTGGTTTTCAAGCCACGCCTGATGGTGCTCAGGGATCACTCCCGGCAGTTGTGAGGGACCAAGGCAGTGCCCGACCCACTGCACTATCACTCTGGCCCCAAAGGACACAATCTTAGTGAATATCTGCTAAAATGGCACACGATTATTTTACCACAATAAAGAAACAGAATGGCTAATGTCAACAACTTGTATTTTGGAAATTCGAGAAACAAAGAGCGGCTCCGCAGTATGACATTAGCTTCCGGTGTGCAGCAATGGAAACCCACACGTGTACATACATGAACCTCACAGTCCACTTCTTGCACCTACACGAGGACACACGTGAGTACCCCGCCCACCACCACACAAACACTAACCTATACATTTCAATAGCACGTTCATCCTCCTCATTAAATTCATCTTCATTGTCTTCGAGTTCTTCCAAAGTCATATCTTCGTATGTTTTTACTGTAAAGAGCAAAAAATTAAGCCGAGCAAACATGCATTTTCCCCTTCACTCTCTTTCTTCAAGAGGTACAGGTCACAGAAGGTTCCCAGCCACTCCCCAAACCAAAATGAAAAGTACGTAAAATACTCCATCAGTATGGAAGCAGTTAAGGGTAACACTGCAGCACCGTCCTCCCACTGTTCATCGATTTGCTCGAGCAGGCATCAGTAACGTCTCCATCATGAGACTTGTTACTGTTTCTGGCCTATCGAATACGCCACGGGGAGCTTGCCAGGCTCTGCCACGCGGGTGGGATACTCTCGGGCTCTCTGAGAGGATGGAGGAATCGAACCCGGGTTGGCCGCGTGCAAGGCAAACGCCCTACCCACGTTTACTTTTTTCCCAACTTACAAGCTTTTGTTGTTACTGCGTGGGACTGGAGCAATAGCACAGCGGTAAGGCGTTTGCCTTGCACGCAGCCAACATGGCCGACCTGAGTTCGATTCTTCCGCCCCTCTCGGAGAGCCCGGCAAGCTACCGAGTCTCAAGTAACGAGTCTCAAGATGGAGACGTTACTGGGCCTGCTCGAGCAAATTGATGATCAACGGGAGGGCCTTTACCTTTACCTTACAAGCTTTTGTGATTATATTTCAGTCATACAATGATCGAGTACCCATCCCTCCACCAGTGCCCATTCTCCATCCCAGGGATACCATTGGTGGTGGAGTATCCCAGTATGCCCGCCCCCGGCAGACACATTCCCTTTGCTCTCTCTCCCCTTTGGGTGTCATGGTTGGCAGTGCAGGTCCCAAGCAGCCATCAAGTTCTGTCCAGAGTCTACCTTCAGTTAAGGGCATTTTCAAAAGACAGAACTATGTTGCCTTCTGCAGGCCGAGCATCTGGCACCTACACAGGAATAAGGACGTGAGGGGCTGGAGTGACGGGACAGTGGGAAGGGCACTGGCCATGCACATGGGTGGCCTGGGTCTGACCTCTGAGACCCTGACCGAGCCAGGAGTGATCCCTGAGTGAGGGCCAGGAGTAAGGCCCGAGCACCGCTGGGGATGTATGGCTCAACGACACGCACAAAACTTGTCAAGTTCATGAAAACAAGGGTCGTGAAGCTCCCGCAAATGTGCGAACACTCGGGACTGAAAATTCTCACTGGCATTATCCAAACGGGCTCAGACCAGGAAGGCCAGGCTGACACCTCCTCACGCCATCCCACTGTCCCCCTGCCCCTGCGGGCTGCACGCAAGACAGGGGGACAGCTGGCCAGCAAAGGGACCGGCTGGTGGGCCAGGCAGAGGGTCAGTGGGCAGAGGGGTCTATTGGCGGGCCAGGCAGAGGGGTCAGCTGGTGGGCCAGGCAGAGGGTCAATGGTCAGAGGGGTCTGTTGGTGGGCCAGACAGAGGGTCAGTGGTCAGAGGAGTCTGTTGGCGGGCCAGGCAGAGGGGTCAGCTGGTGGGCCAGGCAGAGGGTCAGTGGTCAGAGGGGTCTGTTGGTGGGCCAGGCAGAGGGGTCAGCGGTCAGAGGGGTCTATTGGCGGGCCAGGCAGAGGGTCAGCGGGCAGAGGGGTCTGTTGGCGGGCCAGGCAGAGGGGTCAGCTGGTGGGCCAGGCAGAGGGGTCAGCTGGTGGGCCAGGCAGAGGGGTCTATTGGCGGGCCAGGCAGAGGGTCAGTGGTCAGAGGGGTCTGTTGGTGGGCCAGGCAGAGGGGTCAGCTGGCGGCCGGGCAGAGGGTCAGCGGGCAGAGGGGTCAGCTGGTGGGCCAGGCAGAGGGTTAGCGGGCAGAGGGGTCTGTTGGCGGGCCAGGCAGAGGGGTCAGCTGGAGGGCCAGGCAGAGGGTCAGCGGGCAGAGGGGTCTATTGGCGGGCCAGGCAGAGGGGACAGCTGGCAGGCCAGGCAGAGGGTCAGCGGGCAGAGGGGTCTATTGGCGGGCCAGGCAGAGGGTCAGTGGTCAGAGGGGTCTGTTGGCGGGCCAGGCAGAGGGGTCAGCTGGTAGGCCAGGCAGAGGGTCAGCGGGCAGAGGGGTCTATTGGCGGGCCAGGCAGAGGGGTCAGCTGGCAGGCCAGGCAGAGGGTCAGCGGGCAGAGGGGTCTGTTGGCGGGCCAGGCAGAGGGTCAGTGGTCAGAGGGGTCTGTTGGCGGGCCAGGCAGAGGGTCAGCGGGCAGAGGGGTCAGCTGGTGGGCCAGGCAGAGGGTCAGCGGGCAGAGGGGTCTATTGGCGGGCCAGGCAGAGGGGTCAGCTGGCAGGCCAGGCAGAGGGTCAGCGGGCAGAGGGGTCTGTTGGCGGGCCAGGCAGAGGGTCAGTGGTCAGAGGGGTCTGTTGGCGGGCCAGGCAGAGGGTCAGCGGGCAGAGGGGTCAGCTGGTAGGCCAGGCAGAGGGTCAGCGGGCAGAGGGGTCTATTGGCGGGCCAGGCAGAGGGGTCAGCTGGCAGGCCAGGCAGAGGGTCAGCGGGCAGAGGGGTCTGTTGGCGGGCCAGGCAGAGGGTCAGTGGTCAGAGGGGTCTGTTGGCGGGCCAGGCAGAGGGTCAGCGGGCAGAGGGGTCAGCTGGTGGGCCAGGCAGAGGGTCAGCGGGCAGAGGGGTCTGTTGGCGGACGAGGCAGAGGGGTCAGCTGGCGACCGGGCAGAGGGCGCCCTCCCAGCCGGCCCAGGCTCCCCCCCCCCCCAAGAGGGCCCCACCCCGCGCGGGGCAGCAGGACGCGCCTGACCCACCGACCGGCTGCCGGGCCGGCTGCTGCTGCTCGTCCTCGTGCTCGTCCTCGGGCCGCCCTGGGCCGTCCCTGGGGGGCAGGATGCCCTTCCTGCGCAGGATGTCGTTCCACTCCGTGTCCGCGTCGGGGTCCTGCGGGGGGAGGGGCTCGGGTGACGCCCGGGGAAGCCAGCGGACCCAGCTCCCGCGCAGGGACCCCGGCAGGGCCTCTGCCCTCGGGGGGGGGGGGGGGGGGGCGGCGGGCACCGTCACAGTCCGCGCGGAGCACTGGGAAGCCCCACGCGGAGCACTGGTAAAGCCCGCACGGAGCACTGGCAAGCCCCGCACCGAGTACTGCGAAGCCCCGCGCGGAGCACGGGAAAGCCCCGCATGGAGGACAGACAGGGAAGTCCCGCGCGGAGCACTGTTAAGGTCCCGCAAGAGGCACTGCAAAGCCCCGCACGCAGCACTGCTAAAATCCCGCAGGGAGCACTGTTGGGGCCGTGAGGAGCCGGAAGGGGGCAGCCCGAGACCCCGGAGCGAGCGGGCGCTGGGGGCGGAGTCAGGCGGCGGCGCGCCGGCCACCACCGGCGCCCGGCGGGGTCAAGGGTCAGCTCCGAGGGTCCCACACGGACCCAGACCAGGCGCCCAGGCCGCTCACCTGCATCTTGGCACCGCGCAGCGCCCGGCACGCGCGCCCCGCCCCGAGACCCGCGCACGCGCACGGACACACCCCGCCCCGCGGGGACACCGCGCACGCGCACTCGGTCCCGGCCCGCCCCCGCTGAGACACGGCGCACGCGCACCCGGTTCCTGCCCGCCCAACAGGGACACTGCGCATGCGCGCCCGACACGCCCGCCCCGCGGCGGAACATTGCGCACGCGCACCCGGTTATGCCCCGCCCCCTCATTGGAACACTGCGCAAGCGCGTGTCTTTACGCCCCGATCCAGGACACTGCGCACGCGCACACCCTCCCCACGGGGAAACATTGCGCACGCGCACCCGGTCATGCCCCGCCCCCTCATTGGGACACTGCGCAAGCGCGTGTCTTCACGCCCCGACCCACGACACCGCGCACGCGCACACCCTCCCGCAGCGGACACTGCGCACGCGCCATCCGCCCCGCCCCCGCAGTGCACACGCGCACACGCACGCCCCGCCCCGCCGCGGGCACTGCGCACGCGCACACGGCCTTCGCCCCAGTCCATTCCGGAGAAATTCCGGATCCGGGAGGAAGTGAGGCATCGCCGGAAGAGGGCTCGCCCGCGGCTTCAGGGGCGCCTCGCCTTCCGGTGATGACGTGGCCGCCGGAACTGACGTCACATCAGCGTGGCTAAGCCCGCAGGCTCACTCCTGGCCTGGAGCCTCAGCGTTGGTCCGCCGTTGCTGTTTCAGAGCCACGTGGTCGATTTTACTAATTCAAAGGGTGCAATGACATTTCCGCCTGTTCACCTATGGATGCACCAGTAAAAGGGACGACCACGGTTGTCCTCTGCAGAATGACGATCGTGCGCCTTTGGCGTTTGGTTTTTCTCTGGCCCCAACACCGTCACCCCAGTAGTCAGTCTAGAGCTGATGTCGGTGGGCCCCGCGGGTGACTTACGTGAAGCAGGGAGGAGAAAGACGGTCACTTTCTCCCCACCCGCCTCTGCCACTCAGGACCCAGGGTTGCTGGGTTCTTGTCTCGCCTCGCAGAAAGGAATTTCAGGAGTAGACAAGCAATGAAGTAAATAGATTTTATTTGGAGGATTTTTAGGTGTGGAGGGGAGAGAGAGTAAAGTTAGACGCGAAAGCATGAAAGTACACATCTCAAGAGGGGAGATGCGGGCGACACATGTGCTCAGGCACCACATGTGCTCGGCCACGTGGGCGCAAGCAGCACACGGGCTCAGGCAGCATATGCGCGCCCTTCCTTTGTTCAAGGCGGCCTTTATAGGGTTTCTCCACCCTGTCCCCACGTGGGGCCTCTTCCCAGGTAAAAGTCCGATGCTAAGGAGGCTACCAGGGAGGATGGGAGTGGTGATGGTCTTCTTTGGGCTGAATCACTAAAGTTAATCAGATTAAAGGGGAGGTCCAAAAAGAGGAATTTCATGGGGAGGCCTATGTCCTGAGGGTCTGCGGATGGTCTCATCAGGCCATTTTCTGTATCCACAAGTTGGGTCATTCCTAGAACTCTGCTTCCATTGCAAAGGGCCTTTCCTGCCTACATCAGAACGACTATTTTTGTCATTCACACCATCCTGTTGTTCGTGGATTGCCTTGAGCAGGCCCCAGTAACGGCTCCTTCATCCTAGCCCTGAGATTATATTCAAGGCTCTTTAGGAGAATGAGACCCATCATTGTTACTGGTATTTGGCATATTGGGTACGCCACGGGGAGTTTGCCAGACTCTGCCCTGTGGGCGGGTTACATTCGGTAGCCTGCCAGGTTGTCCAAAAATAAGAATGAGATAATAAGATGTCACAATAAGATGTCGTGTGGCCGCGAATGTGCGCTTCGGGAGCTGGGTGTTTTTTTTTTTTTTTTTGTCATTATAGGCTAATATTTATTTTCTAGAATTGTACGTAAGTAGAATTCCCGAGTATTCCATCTGGTTTGCTGTCTTTGATACGTAGATCTCTCTCAGCATGAAGTCGGTAGTCCCCCACTTACGGCTTATGTGAGGGGGGCTAGGAGAGAGACAGTCACTTTTCCAACCTGCCTCTCCCCACGCCCAGGACTAGCTGGGAAGGCCAGGACTGATAAAGTCTCTGATAAGGCCCTGCAGCACATCCAGAGCCTGCCAGCCCCATCAGGCGGCCACACCTGACATCCTCTTGGTCTCCTAAGGGTTGGTCCCCACCACCTGATTTCTTGGGGAGCCATGGACTTAGGTTGGGGTGAGGATTTGCTCTTGGCAGGAAGTCAAAAGTCTGACCTCGGTTACCTAGTAGGTCTTCCCTTGCAGAAAAGAATTTTAGGAGTAGATGAGCTGTGAAATAAAACAGATTTTTATTGGGGGGAGGGGAGAGAGGGGATAGGCAGGGAAAAGAGAGAAACTGAGAAAGAGTAATGGATTCAAGAGAGAGCACAGGCTTCTCCAAGGGCAGAGTGAGCCCTACACACACCCTAGCATTGGACAGGGAAGCACGAAAGTCCACATCCCAAGAGGGGCAATGTGGGCCCCACATGTCCTGTATCAAGTGGACACAAGCAGTGCATGGGCCAGGGCAGCATAGATGCACCCTTCGTTTGTTCAAGGTGGCTTATATACCTTATTTTCCCAACCTGCCCCAACAAGCCCCAACGATGGTGCTTTGGCCTAGATAAAGGGCTGATGCCAAGGGAGTAGAGTGGAGAGGTTGATGGCCTTCTTTGAAATTCCCTTCCTGACCTTTTTTCCTGCTGCATCTTCTCTCAGAGTGGGGTCCAGCCTTCTCTGGCTCTGTTACCCTGCCAGGTGAAGTCTTATCAGGCCTTGGTTCCTGCGCTCACAAGGTGGGCCTTGGGGGTCTTAAGGCTTCGTGGTTTCATTATATCTGAGAAATTCCACTGCCCTTCCCTGCCTACCTCAAACACATCATTTGTTGATGAATAATTTTCTATCTTATAATCACAGTGTGTTTTCCACTTACCTGTTGATGGAATTTTGCAGTCACAGTACCTATGTCATGAATATAAAAGTCTTTCTAAGGCCGTACATACACTCTTTTGGTAAATGACCGAATCTAAGAAAAGACACAGGTTTATTTAAAGAAATTTCTAAATTATTTCCCACCGTATTTGAGTCTTTTTATAGCTTCTTAAACTGTGGGTTACAACCTTAGATGGGTTCACATAACAATGTATGTGGGGTGTAGAAAATAAATTTATTGTAGTTATTTATCAGTAAACAAAAAAAAGAGGCAATTCATTCATAAGATATGTATATTCTAGGCTCTTCAACAAAGAAATTCTCCAGACAGACAGAAAAGAGTGGAGGACCTTTCCCCGGGTGAGCTTCAGGGCAGCAGCATGTGCAGTGCACAACAGGGCCCGTGCTTGCTACTCTGGGTGGCTGAAGAAGGTCGCAGGTGCAGTCAGAGTCTGAAGTAAGAAAGCAGCATTTTTTTCCTGGTGTGACCTGAACTGCCTCACTGGCCTCTGACTACCAGTCAGAAAGGCAGCATAAGAGTTATTACCGTCCTCTAACCTTGTCTTGTTTTTCACAGAATTTATAGATTTTTCTTTCACCCCTGGCTCCTGCCTTTTCCACAGGGTTGAGAAATGTTTCTATAAACTATTTAGCATCCAACTAGGAGTCATCCACACATGAGAAAGAAATAGCAGCAGATGTTATGTTTTGTGTAGACCAAGAGGACACTTTGTACAGCAGTGTCGTTTAAGTTGTTTTACAAAGAACAGATCTGCAATGTCCAGAGACTCCATCAAACCACTGATGTCTTAGGACACTGCATGACTGAACTTCTCCCCACCAGCCCACTACCCTTTTTTGTTTTTTTGTGCCACACCCTGTAGTCCTTGGTGCTAACTGACTGTGCTCAAGGACCACACCTGGTGGGGCTGAGCCCTGAGCACATAGTGTACGTGGATCAAACCCGCTCTATTTGCTTGCAAGTCAAGCACCCCTAGTTATCTCTTCTGCTTGTGAGGCCCCAAAGCAAGCTCCTCAGAAGCTGTGACAAGCTGCAACTAACATTAAGTCTCAACTAGTTTCTTTTTCCCCAAGGCAGGACTTGCAGTTTCTGGTAACTTCCAATTGAGCAATTCAACTAGATAATAAACTGGGCAGTTGGATCTGGCCAGTCATGAGGGGTCGCCGCACCCTTCTTGGAAAGAACCCCAAAATGGTGCTGGTCCCTGCTGCCTACTTGGTGACCACTGTTGGAATAGGGCAATGCTAAAAATAGACCAGGATATAAACCACTTCTTAGCTGACCCCTATATAACCTGCTTGGGAGTTGGAGTCGGGGTCCTTGTCAGGACTCCACTGTGTTGGATGAGACTTGGACCCTAGCCTGGGCTGGCGCTGGCTCGGGCTAGTAATCAAGTCCCTTTGCTTTTGCGTTGTCGTGTGTGGAACTGGGTCTCTCCGCAATCGGGGACCTGAGACTTGGGCGCATATGCTCTTGCCCCTTTGCTCCACCAGCGCATCAGAAATCCCCGGATCCAGTCTGAGAGGAAGCTGGTTTGGGGAGAGAAACTCTGCCTTCTCAGATTGTTGGCACCTAAATAAACTTGTTTTATTTGCACCAACCTTTTGCATTAAAACCCCAGGCATAATTTGAGCTCGTATCAGCCACCACAATAAAACTTTTCCTGCTTACCAAGCTCATTTGTTCCAGCAACCAAAGCAGTGGAGGGCAGACACTCATTGACTCTTATTATATTCTACCTTCACATCGTAGTGGTTTTTTGTTTTCATTTGTTTTTCATCGAATCACCGTGAATTACAAAGTTATATATGATTGAGTTGATTGGCAGAGTCTCCTGCCCCTGCGCCTGGCCATCTTCACCAGGGCCCCTTGGAAGGGGCGGGTTGAGTTTCTCTCCCCACCCCGAGAAGAGCCCAGGCAGCTGAAGACCTCCAGAACCCAGTCACAGCCATGCTCAAGACCACTCTCCATACACTCAGATGAGCCTCATGCATGAAGGAACCGGCAGAGGAACCCAGGTGTGCAGGACCTGGGGCTAAGGCCTCCAAGCCTGCTCGGATCAGGACCGGGCTTCCTCCACCCAGATCCCCCATCTTCCAGTAGCTAGACAGTTACACCCACAAACCACCATGTAATCCCATCAATGGCCAAGATCCAGAGACTATAAAACTAAGCTCCCGGAAGGGACCTGAACTCTTATTGTCTAGTTCTCACTCTCAGAGAACCCAGCAGGCTACTGAGAGTATCCTGCCCACACGGCAGAGTCTGGCAAGCTCGGTGTGGTGTATTTGATATGCCAAAACCCGGTAACAATGATGGGTCTCATTCCCCTTACCCTGAAAGAGCCTCCAATGTGGTACCGTTGGGAAGGACGAGTCAAGAGAGGCTGCTAAAATCTCAGGGCTAGGACGAATGGTGACGTCGCTGGTGTCTGCTCGAGCAAATCGATGAA